GAAAAAACAAGTAATCTTTTCTCGACTTCGAATTCGTCACACCCGTCATACACATCTTTACCGAATTACAAGAGACGATCCTCCATACTGCAACCAGTGTCAAACCAACAGTACAGTTAAACATATTTTAACCGAATGTCAAATTTTCCAAAAAACCAGAAGTAAACTCAACCTTCCCAGCGACATAGGCGACCTTCTTAGAGACAATAATCATCTACACAATATTATAAAGTTTTTAACGGCTATAGGCATAAAAGATATTTAAATTAATATCTAGACTGTACTTATATTACATATATCAATCTTCTTTAATGTTCTTTAATGTTAGTACGTAATTAATACTAACATTTCTTTGTTATAATATGTATTTTCCATTGTTGTCGTCTATAACTCCAGTGGTTCGGACGACATTAAATAAATTAATAAAAAAAATTCAAGTGACTGTGCTATTTCTAGTTGATATAAAACTATTGTATATCGGGGTAAGTTGAATATTTAGTAATGATGATTGTAACAAAAGTTTTATATTTAAATGTAACTCTTAGCTGTTATAGATTTTATTAAGAATAAAGTAACATTGTGACTTGTAACAGTCTTCTCGAGAAATTTGAATTAAATTGTGGTTTAAGTCTAAATGTATCTATAATCTGCAGATTTTAGTTTTTGTATTTGTATTATTTTAGATTCATTTCTAATAGTAATCCTAATCCATATAAAAATATCATGAATGTTAGTTAGTTAGAACAGAGTATGTTTGGCTAAGAAAAAAATTATTGTATAATTATTTGGCAGAATGTTTTCAGTTTTGAGTTTTCTCTCACGTAAAAATGTTTTACTTTCGTTAGTATTGAGAAATTAATTATTTCTTATAATAATAATAATATAATTAACACAATTTAGAAAAGTGAGTTATTTATGTTTATGTGTCAATTTCCGTGATGTTTTTATTTTATCAATAATTTACTCAAATATTACCATTTCAGGAATACCGTAAAAATATAAAACCATGTCAACATCTGGTCGAAGTACACATATCGCTCCATTGATAGAAGAACGTCATAACTCAAAAAGTTATATTTTACAGATTATGTATAAAAACAGGTGCTAACATAACCTACTTTTATGTGGAAGATCATCACAACATATGCATTACAATATTACCAACAGATGGCAATAGTGTCGTTTCAGATGTCACCGAATGAACTGATCCGTTATGCGGAAGATCGTCAGTTTTAACTTAACTCGCAAGCGAAACTGTTGTTCCCGTCTTAGTTTTATGGAAGATCGTCGCAACACCAAAAAGTGTCGTTAGGGTACAACAAGTGTTAAAGTGATTTTGTGGAAGTACTTCATAAAAACAATTGGGTCGTTTGGGAATAAGTTTAGTGTGAGATTTGTGTGCTACACTTTTAGGTAAGAACGTCAAATTGGTATATATGTCTATTTTTCGTAAAAATGCTTGTAAATTTTAATTAAATTTTATGCTTACTGTAAATTGATTTGGATTTTGTCGTTGTTCTTTATAAAAACTTGCATTTTTAATAAATTGTGTCTTGTTTCATATCCGATTTAATTTAAAAAGATACAGAATAAAGTAAATTTCTGTTAGGTATTTGTGAAATAATAATTATATCAACTATTACACATAATATTTTTTAAATGTACAGGGGATCAACTATTTTATTGACCACTAGATTGCTATCTTGGAAACGGTGATTGTAATAGTCAGGTATATTAGAAAAAAAATGCATTTTTTCGTGCCAATTTAGGATACGTTTACAGTGTTGAAAAATGTGTGTTAGTTTCGAGATACAGGATGAGTGATGAAAAATGGCAATTTTTTAAAACTTAAAAACTATTGATTTTCGAAATGCAATTTAAGTTTCAGAGTTTTATATTTTATGCTATTTAACCGACTTTGTAGCTGTTACTGATTCTGAGATAGCAATATTATAGGATATAGTTACCACCTTGTATAAATAGGAAATTTGGTATTATTTTATTGATTATTTTTATTTTTAATCGTGTTTGTAATCGTATTAAATTCGATTTTAGAAACAAAAATGGGAGATCGTGGGAAGTTATTGGTAAAGTTGGCTTTTGACAAAAATGTAGATGGCAATAGTATTTGGAAAAAAGTTGAAGAAAAATGTAGCGAGTCAACATCAATCTCTTCTGGTACTAACAGGAACGATCTTAAAAGTAAGAATTGTTTCTTTAAAATGAAAGGATTTTTTGGAGCAAAATTGTTTTGTAGTTGTAGGTTGTAGTGACCACGTTAATATTTTTTGCCCGTTTTAATAAAAATTATTCTTTATCTTTATGTACTTAGGCTATTTGTTTTTTGTAGGTTGTCTACAGGTTTCGTCCCTGATAAATAAAAAACCTAGTTCGCCGAACCGTCAAGTTGTCCATCCAATACATAGCTATTCAGATAACACTGAAATCTACGATAAAAGTTAGTATCTTCAGTTTTTTTTACAGAAAAAATTTTGGTTTTTAGGTGCACTACCAGAAAAACTAATAAACCTTCTGTTTCTAATTTAATGTAAGACTGGTATATTATTTGACAGATAACTAGTTAAATACCGTCAAGTTGACAAATAACAACCCAATTAAAATTATGGTTACCACAATTCAGTTGCAACTGTTGCAAGTAAATGTACTTATTTAAAAAGTAATTAATTCAAAATTCATTTAAATTTTTTGCATATAATTATTACTTAGTCGGACATTAAACGTTGAAGGCAATTTGGGTATTATGGATAATATATTATCTCTTACGGTCAATGTATATCCCAAAGGCCGTAAGCCCTCAGGATACACACCATTGACCTCAAGCGATACCCATAATACCATTAGTACCGTAATAACTATATTATTACTTAATTATTTTTTTAGGCTACGTTAATCCATCGTCCATTAATACATTGGACAACAATACCAATGACGAAAGGTCAGGTAGTGACTTTTCATTAACAACTTCTTACTACTGGAGAGTCCAATTATAGTCCATCAGTAAGTGACGCTAAATCAACATCATCCGAATCGCAAGTTTCCTTATCATCTCGTATTAGCAATATATTAAACGAAGATAAAGAAAATGCTATAGAAGTTAATAAGGATAAAAAACCAAGAAAACGTAAATGTGATAAATCTACCTGGAAGAAAAATTTGGCGAAAAAGTTGAAAGATCAAGGAAAAGCATACGTATCGTCTACTACTAACAAACCTATGAAAGAAAGAACTATGGGCCCTCCGTGCAAAAATACATGTAGGCTTAAATGCCACTTAAGTATACCCAATGAAACAAGAGAACGGATTTTTCAAGAATATTGGGGACTTGGAGATAATAATAAACAGCGCGACTTTATATCCTCATGTATTGTTGCCATAAAACCCAAATATCAGTACCATGTTCATGAAAATAAACGTCGAGATAATAATGCATTTTATTTCACGTTCAATGAGACTAGAATAAAGGTCTGCAAAACATTTTTTAAATCTACGTTGAATATCACAGACACACCAATTCGTACAATTGTAGAAAAGCGCACGGAAATTGGAGTATTAAAAATGATGGTAGAGGGAAACATAAAAACCACCGAAAACTTCATGACAACATTAGGGAAGAAATGAAACGCCACATAAATAGCATTCCTCGGATCGAAAGTCATTATACAAGAAGTCGGTCTAATCGTGAGTACATAGAAAGTGGTAAGTCGCTTGCAGATTTGTATCGCGATTATGTTGAGGAATGTAAACAAAAGAACATTCCTTATGGAAAGTATCTGATTTATCACCAAGTTTTTAACAACAACTTTAATATTTCTTTCTTTACTCCTAAAAAGGACCAATGCTCGTTGTGTGTTTCCTATGATAATGCCTCAGACACTCAAAAAGAGAAACTGAGGACTGACTACGAAAACCATACCATGGAAGAGGATTTGTCACGATTAGAGAAAAACAACGATAAAATGAAAATTAGCAATAATTATATAGTCGGTGTGTTTGATTTGCAAGCTGTTCTACCATGTCCCAAGGAAAACGTGTCTCTTTTTTATTATAAGTCCAAATTAAATGTTTTAAATTTTACTATTTACGAAATGAAAGGAAACGCAAATTTAGATGAATGTTTCTGTTATGTCTGGGATGAGACAAATGGCAATCGAGGAGCAAATGAGATAGGATCTTGCTTGTTAAGTTATATAGAGCACATATCAAAAGATAGATCTGAATGCAATGATCTTGAACTTGTTTTTTTCTCAGATAATTGCGCTGGCCAGCAAAAAAACAAGTACATAATTGCTATGTATATGTATGCACTAAAAAAGTATCCGAATATTAAATCCATATGCCATAAATTCCTGGTAACAGGACATACGCAGAACGAGGGGGATTGTGCTCATTCCGTAATCGAACGGCAAGTAAAGCGTTACCTAAAATCAAGCCCCATATACTTACCTAACGAATACACAACTTTGATTCGAACTGCAAAAAAAGTGGTAAGCCATTTCAACAATATGCAATGCAACTGGCAATTACAAGTTTCAAAACTTGTAACTGCCATTTATTTTTTGTATGTTTTACTTAGTATCTTGCACTTTTTTAATAAAAAAATATAAGTTTTTTTGTGTTAATTTTAACCTTGTTCTAGTGTCACATTATTAAATCGATTTAAATATTTTTTTACAGAAAGTCACATTTTAATATAAGACGAAAAAGTGTTTTTAAAATAATAAAAAAATGTATATTTTTTTTTAAAGAAGAAAGACACAAGTAGTTGTCATTAAAAAGTTTGTCAATCTAAGAAAAAGTCTCTACTACCAGTTAACTAGTGTCCTTTGAGTCATCAAACCATAATAAAAGCTTTTAATTTGTTTGGAAAGTTAAAGGAATATCAGCAAGTAAAAAAACCAATAATCTTTAAACCACGATATTGACGCAATGTTGATTTTTGAGTTATGACATTCTCGAATAAATGGAGCGATATATTGCGTATGTTAAATATTGATATTAGTTGTAACGAAAATTTTAATATCTCTCAAAATACTACATCTGAGATACCCAAGGAAACTGAGTATATAACTACTACAACTACTGATGAATCTATGAATCTATTTAGCAACGATGCCACACTTTATTGTCATCCCAACCAAATGGTTAATGTTGTTGGTGCGAGTACTTCTGGAAATCCAATTAATGAAGAGAACCCAAACCACAAACTATCCACCGAAGTGCTTAAAAATGTATCGAATATTTCTCCTCTTCTTGGTACTGAAAATAGTAAGGGAAACAACTCTAATTTGTTTATATATAACGCTAAAACTATTCTTTTTTAGAATGTAATTTGTCAGAAGTGCTTAAAAATGTATCGAATATTTCTCCTCTTCTTGGTACTGAAAATAGTAAGGGAAACAACTCTAATTTGTTTATATATAACGCTAAAACTATTCTTTTTTAGAAAATGTAATTTGTCATCAAAGCACGATAGGGCAATGGTATCTGATGAGGATAGTGCAATAGTTCATAATGCAGAAATATCTACAGCAGGGAACATGCATAGGTAGTCACATAATACATTTGTGTAATTTTATTTTACATACTTATGAATTTCTATATAAAATAAATATTTTTTATTTTGTAGAGAATCTATCATCAAGCTTATCTTCACCTTCATCAAGCTCATCTGAGATTAATGAAAATGACTCCAATGCTGCTAATAGAATTGAAGTTGACATAATCAAACATCATTTTGAGTATAGATTTAATGGAACATTATTGTGTTAAGTTACTCCGTTGAAGACTCACAAAATGATCCATATGGATCCGATGATAGTGTGCGCGATCCCTTATATCAGGAGACCCGTGAATCTTCCGATTCTGAAGCAGAAATAGAAGTAGACCAAGATGAGAATCCGTCAATGAGAAAGAAAATGTCGGCTGAAACTCAAACTGAGAAAATTGAAAAAAAAAGAAAGAGAAGACCCGAATTATGGCAAAAGAATCAATAAAAAAAATTAAGAAACAAGGGAGAATCATATATTTCTACTCAAATACAGAAAAATGAAAATGGTACACTATTAAGAGTAAAAAAAGAAAGGCCACGAAGATTCATTCTACCCGCATGTGGTCAAAAATGTAGGCTTAAATGCTGTGACAAAATTTCTGCTGAACAACGAGAACTCATTTTTTCAGAATTTTATAGGCTTGGAGATCTTGGAAAGCAAAGAGAATATATAGCATCAAATATGACACACATAAATCCAAAATATAAATATAGTAATGTTGCGAATCCAAGAAAACCGAATAATGCATTTACCTTTATAATTTCTGGGCAAAACAAGGGTTTGCAAAACATATTTTATGGCAACTTTAGCAATTAACAATAGAACTATTCAGACTGTACTCAAAAAACAAAGTGTATGTGAATCTGGTAAGGTTATTGATGTAGATAGAAGAAGAAAACACGGAAACCACAAAAAGATAAGTACCGAAATACAAGACAGAATAAGGTTACACATAGATTTAATTCCGAGAGTCGAGGCTCACTACTGTAGAGCCAATACTTCGCGCGAATTTATAGAAGGTGGAAAATTTTTGTCAGATTTACATAGAGATTATGTAAAATTATGTCAAGAGGAGAAAGTGGATTATGGAAATTACCAATTTTACAGCAAAATCTTCAAGGAGGAATATAACCTATCTTTTCATGTACCGAAGAAGGATTGATGTGAGTTGTGTCTGGAGTATCAGAGATGTTTAGAAACGGAGAAAGCTAAATTGGGACGACTATAAATCTCATTTAAAGGAGAAGGTACTCAGCCGAGAAGAAAAACAAAACGACAAACAGAAGAGTGCCGATGATGTAACAGTTTTAGTTTATGACCTTCAAAAAGTTTTGTTATGTCCTACTGGACATGCAAATTCATTCTATTACGTCTCAAAGTTGAATGTTTTTAATTTTAGTATATTTAACATCAAAACCACAGAAGGAGTCTGCTATTTGTGGCACGAGGGAGAAGGTTTGCGAAGTGCAAACCAAATAGGAACATGCCTTTTTAAATATCTTGAAGATCTTTCTAATAAGTAATGGAGCAGATTTGAACATAATTTTTTACTCTGACAATTGTTGTGGGCAAAACAAAAACAAATATATACTTGCCCTTTATTTATACATGATCAACAAACTAAGAATCAAGTCTATCACCCACAAATTAGGCATAGTCAAAACGAAGGGGACAGCGTACATGCCAAAATCGAGAATGAGATTACAAAATATAAAAAGTCCAGTCCTATCTTTGTTCCCGATCGATATGCTGTAATAATCAGACAGGCTAAAAAAAAAACGGGCAAAAAATATCAGCACTATGTTCCACAGACATACTGGATTTAAAGAAATTGTCTTCACATCTCTACATTAATATTCCAAACACGTCAAATTTTCCACTCTCCGAGTTATTAAACTCCGCCTGGAATGACTGTTGGGTGGATCGAGTAGCTTAACAGTCATTCTTGCCGGTCCCAAGCCCGGATAAAGGAGGAGGGTTAAGCGAAAGGCCAACAACCTGCCCTTGTAAAAAACAGCCTGTTATTAAAATTGCAAATGTGCCTAGGAATCGAACAGATACATATGTAAAACGACAATCGCAATGGACAAGGACTTTGAATGTTGGAGCGTTTTAAGCTGGTACCGGATAGGAGCAGCCATACACGCAGTAAAACAGAAAAAGTAGGAATGGACATTACGGCAATACAAGAAATAAGGTGGCCGGACAATGGAAACATAAGAATAGACAAGGCGGTCATTTTCTACAGTGGAAACCAGACAGGAAAACATGAATTCGGCACAGGTTTCGTGGTCCGAGAAGAATACTTAAACAGTGTTATAAGTTTTACGCCCATCAGTGAGAGACTGTTATATTAGACTGAAAGGAAATTGTACAATATCTCAATTATATCCGCACATGCTCCGACAGAAGATAAAGAAGAAACAATCAAAGATGACTTCTATGAGCAACTCGAAAGAACGCTGGAGAGAATTCTAAAACAAGACATGCAAATAATCTGCGGAGACTTCAACGCAAAAATTGGTAAAGAGCTTAACCTAAGACCGACAATAGGACAACACAGTCTCCACTATATCTCAAACGATAATGGACAAAGGCTCGTAGAGCTAGTGTAAAGTCTACTATGTTCCAACATAAAAACATGCATAAACAGACTTGGGTCTCTAATGACAACTCCACACGGAACCAAATTGACCACATAATTGTTGATGCTAGACACGGAAGTAATGTCCTTGACGTAAGAAGCCTCAGGGGCGTAGATGGAGATACAGACCATTACCTAGTAAGAGCAAAAATCAGGTTGAGAATATCATCACAGAAACTTAAAACGAACGAAGCATTGGAACAGTGGAACATTGAGAAAACGCAAAATAAGGAAATCCGAGACAATTACGTACAGGAAATGGAACAACATCTAAATAGAATAGACCAGAGCAATGATGTCGAAAGGCTGTGGCAACAAATGGAAAAATCAATTACAGAGTCAGCAGAACTAATAATAGGAAAAAGAAGGACGAAAACAAGGAAATGGTTTGATAAAGAATGCCAAGAAAAACTACAAGACAGACAGAAAAAGCGAAACATTATGCTTCAACAAGAAACAACAGAAAGTAAAGAAAACTATACAACATCACGACGAGAAACAAGAAAACTAATTAGAGAGAAAAAAAGAAAATACGAACAACAGCAGTATGAAGAAATGGAAAGAATTAGACAACAGTCAAATAGTCGAGCATTTTACAAATCTGTGTCAAACGAAAAGAGAGGATTCAGACCTAACTGCGTGTCTGTACTGAGGAAAAATAATGATGAATTAATAATCAACGAACAAGAATTACTCCAAACATGGCAAGAATATTTCAAAAATTTACTTAATATACACCAAGATGAAAAACATGGAGAGGATATATATCTTGGGGTGGACCTACCGGTAGAGTACCCAAAAATAGACGAAACATTGCAAGCAATTAACAAATTGAAGAACGCAAAAGCTCCAGGCTCTGACAATATACCAGCCGAATTTCTTAAGTACGGAGGAGAAACTTTACATAGACAATTACACAAACTAATAACACTTATATGGAACGAAGAGAAAATACCAACAAAATGGCACGAAAGTGTAATAATTCCTATCCATAAAAAGGGAGACAAAACCAAGTGCTCTAACTATAGAGGCATCTCCCTACTTAATACGGCATACAAAATCTTATCGAACATCCTATTAAGTAGACTAACACCTTTTGTAGAAAATTTCATAGGGGAATACCAAGCCGGATTCAGAAAAAAATAGATCGACCATAGATCAGATTTTTACTCTCAGGCAGCTGCTTGAAAAAAGGATGGGAATTCAATAGAACCATTCATAATCTCTTCATAGATTTCCGACAAGCATACGACAGCATTAAAAGGGATTAGATGTGGAATGCAATGGCAGAACTTTAAGTTCCAAAAAAACTTATCCAGCTCGTTAAAGTTTGTGTAAACGGCTGTAGATCTAGAGTGCGGATTTATGGAAGAAAGTTTTTATGAAAACTGAAATTATTAATCACAGAAAAAATATTGAATTTGATAATATAATATTAGAACCTGCTTTTGTAAAGAAACCAGGGATTTCAGAGGCAAAGAAAAAGGGGTTACTGGAGTTAATTAAAAAAAATCTGTTCCCCATTATTACTTAGATTTCTTTAAAAACCTTTAGATTATTTTAGAATATTATAAGATATTTAAGTTTGAATTTTAATCATAGTGTTTAAATTGTCAAAAAATGATTATTTAACACAAGCATTTGCTCATTTTGTTAGTTTTTAATAGAAATAAAATTGTTTTAAGTTGAAATATGTTTCTCATTTTCTACAGAAGAAAGCTATAAGTTCTAAAATTTTCTGCAATAAGAAAATTATGTCTTGTAAAAGCAATGTTTGTTAAACAACTGTTTTATATTATTAAAAAAAAATGAAATCATTAAGATAAAGATAATATTAATACATTTATAAGCCATAAAGTTATTTTGTTACAAGATATATCATAAAATTTTTTTATTCAAAAGGGTTACAAGTATTATTTTTTCTAAAACTACTATTTGTTGGAATATTGTACAGTCCAAGGTTTGAAGTGAAAGATAAAAGGTATACATATGTAATAAAAGCAATTTTAGATTTTAAACGGCGTCAACAGTATCAAACATTTTGTTACAAAAAATCTTTAAATAGCTCTACTGGAAAATTACGTTTTTTGAGTTGTAACTCTCTTCTTCCGCATGGTCGATATAAACACAAACACGCTCGACAAACTGCCCTGAAAGCTGTTGTTAAAGAGTTAAGTCTAGATAGGCCAAGCACTGGATGTTACAAAAAAATTTAATGCCATACTATTTTAATGAAATTGATAAGTACCTTCAGGGATCAGGAATTGAACTAAGAGAACATTTGATAGTATAGATAATATAGATGCTTCTGATGGAACAGTTTTAATAGATGCAACGATTAATACAGATGGCACTTTAGACAGTAATGATGAACCATCCACTTTATATTCTAATATTTGTTCTCCAACTCCACAAGATGTAAGTAATTACAATTACAATGTATATGATGAAAAATTAAAATTTTTGCTTTTTAGAACATTCCAGATCATAACTATGCCATAGATGAGTTTTTAAGCCCCAGATCAAGTCGTGAACCTACAATGCAAACAAATAGAAAAAAAAGACGAGTTCAGAGTGAACAAGAAAGTATTGCTGGTATGACAAAAGCTGTAGCGATTCTTGTACAAACCTACAGAAAAAGCAAAGAAGTACTAACAGAAAAACCCCAAACGCCTGATGCAACTGACAATTTATTTCAGTTCTGCGCAGCTAGAGTAAAACAAATTATATGTTCAATAGTCCCAACAAATGTGGAAACAAAAGTATTTATGGTAGTACATGAAGCAATAAATAAAATTAATTTTTGTTTTATAAATTATGTTTTTGTATCTTGCTTCTTGTCATTCCAAGTTTCCAGCTGGAGAATTGAAGTAGTCTCGTAGCTCATCACGAACCTTTATTTTTGTTGTGATTGAACGGAAGTTTTGTTGGGAAACAGATCTTAAAATACTGGCACTAGCATTATTACTAGAATATTCATCTTCTTTAGCAGGGGTAATTTGCTCCATTAAATTATGTAACACAATGCATGCAAGATTTATTGTTTGAACTTTATGAGGTGATAAGTTAATTGTGGTTAACAATATCCTAAATCTATTTGCCAAACTTCCAAATTAATTTTCTACAACTCTCCTGGCTCTAGCCTATAATTAAATATTTTGTTATCATGTGTTAAATTCCTGCCAGGATATGGCTTCATAGCTTTTGTAGTTAATGGAAATGCATGATCAGCCACAAATTTGATATTTTTAAAACCTTTCCTGGCAGGCTCATGGCATTAGGGCAGTTTAGTTTGTTTTTCGTGAGTGCTGCACATAATCTGCTATTTTGGAAAACATCACCATCACTTACTGTGCCATTCACTCCAATGTTTACATAAGTAAATTTATAAGAGACATCTACCAATGCCAACAAAACAATAGGGTGATCTTTTTATAATTAAAATATATCCTTCAGATATAGGAGCACGAAGTTTAATGTGTTTACAATTCATAGCTCCAATGCAGTTTGGAAATTGTCACATATGTTCAAAATTTTTGGATATTTCATCCCATTCTTGAGGAGTTTTGGGTATCTACAAATAAATATCTGATGTAGGTAGGTTGTGGTTGTTTTTTTAAATTTCGATTTACCTGTAAATATATGCTTTTTAAACGATTGTAAATCGCGTTACAAACTTCGGGTATTTACTTATAGTAGTTTTATAAATATGAGTTTCATATATAAGTGATCTATAAGTTTCACCAGTAAAAACCGGAGGTAAATTGCAACCTAAACTTAATTAATAAGCTTTATTTATACTTTTACTTTAGAAATTAACAAGCCTTATGCATCCTGAGATGGATTCCCTTAACAAGGTGTTGGTTTTCTCTATGTCGTCTTTAAGCAACTGGTACAATGATTCTAATTGCGGGTCTCTCATCCGCAAAAACTTTTTGTATGCATTTGGGTCCTCAGTTTTAAGCTCTTCGTTTAACATTATTATATTCGTTATCATTTCTTCTCAATAACCAAGGCCTGTTCCATAAACGTTTAATTTTATTTTTTCGTTTTAATTTTTGTACTGCTGCTATTGTGGAAAAAGGGCAGTAGCTGCTATTACAACAAAATCATCAGCCATATCCATTCTTATACCACTTTATAAATCTCTCTCACAAAAATAATTCACACCAAAATACATGAAACGCAAAACAGCTGATTTGATTGTCACTGTCATTATTACTAAAATTACATAAAACGCGGTGTGTGCAAAATTTCGCGCATTTCTCGTACAAGAAAATGTGTAGGATCCAAATTATTGCATAATTTCTTGTATAAGAAAATGTACGTGTGTATGACTACTATGCATTTTTTTCTTGGTTAAGAAACGATACAAGAAATTGTACAAGAAAATGTATAGTGTCATACGGCCAGGTTTAGGTCACGCAGCTGAAGTAATTTTACTTGGATACCCTTTTCTCCATCAATATACCTTACCATTAAATGCATAACTTTAATTTCTCTATAATTCGACGAATCGATCGTGATATTAACAAATTTTGCGTTTCGAATGCCAATTTCTTATTAAGATTGAGTTTCTTGAGCTAAAACATTTTTACAATCGCCTCAGTCGATTCGGTTCGAGCTGCTGCAAATTTAGGTTCAATCATGTTTACGGTTTACTTTCGCAAATTTAGGTTAGTTTTGTAAGCAAAAGTACCTTCCTACCTAGCAATCAACATATTTTCAGAATATAAATTGTCACTTTTAACAAAAGTTTCCAATTTGCTACTCTTCGAGTTCGCATTTGCAGCCAACATGTGTTTTTTCTTTAACAAATGTTGTTTGATATTACTGCGACCACTGTTACAAATATTAACATTTCTTCTCAAAAATTGGCAAAACAGAATATGCGGGTACATTTAATTTTTGTTTTAAAAAAGGATACACTGCTTGCACCTCGGTGTTGAAATGGCATTTTCTTCGTGGCGGTGACATGATGAAATTGTTTACTTTTCATCACAGCACAAAAAAAAATAAACGAAACGAAAAAAACTGCCGGAATTTAATGTAAAAGGTAAACAGACGAATTGACAGCGAGCGCAGAATAACAAATAAACATACGAAAAGATACTATAAAGGCGCGTACACATTTGGCGAACGCATGTGACCGAAGCCTTGCGACCAAACGCTTTCGGTAAATGTGTACACCCAAACAAACGATAGCAAACGCATGTGTGTGCCTTCGCTAGAGTTCGCTCACTGGGCTGTACATCAAAAGAATTTTTTTTTATTAAATTTGCTAATTTACAATCTGCTATTACAAGCTACTAGTAAATGTGAGTATTGCAAATACATGAGAGGAGAAATTATCCACCGAGAACACTCCCAATACTAACACTAACAGATTAAATTAATGTAGGATTATAATTTAAAAGTAAAATTGAAATGAAAATTAAAATTCAATGTGAAATTAGTGAATGAACTCTGTTAGCCACTGTCTCTTTAATCTTCGTTTGACTTCTGGTTGTAGGTGTAGTTGACTTACTTCCTCGTTGGGGTGGACTGGCAGATGTTCTAAATAATTTGTTATTAGTTTGCTGATTTCGTCTTCAACGAACGGTATACCAGACTCATCACGCAGTGTTTTATTACTAACGTACCACGGCGCGTTGAAAATCATTCTGAGTATTTTGGATTGGATTCTCTGAATGATTTTGGTATTAGAAGACTTTTCACAGCCACATAGTTGCACTCCATATAGACTTTATTATGCACTTATATACGAGGAGTTTATTATCTGTAGATAACTGTGATTTTCAGCCTATTAGCCAATTCATTTGGCGTATTTTAATGTTGATTTGGATTTTTTTTGTCAAGATGTCTGCTTTCCAAGTAAGCTTTTGATCAAGTGTCATTTCCAGGTATTTGACTTCTGTTTTACTGGTAGTAATATATTGTTCAGTCTGATTGTCGGACATATGATGTTCCTGTTGGTGAATGTAATTTGATTAGACTTAGTATGGTTAAGTTTGATTTTCCATCTATTCATTCAGTCTTGTAGTAGGTTCAGGTTTATTTAAAAGTTTCCTGATGCTACTTGGGTGGTCATCATCGATGGATATTATGGCGGTGTCATCTGCGAACATGGCTATTATGGTCGTATTTGTTGTTGGGATATCAGCAGTGTACCTATATGAGGTACAGGAGGGGACCTTGAATACTTCCTTGAGGGATACTGGATTTTATGGGATACTAATGAGAGGTTTCTGTGAGGGATCTGACTTAAAAGTGACGTTCTGTGAGGTATGGTTTTAAGAGTAGATAGTGAGGAGTGGGAAAGGATGACTTAAGTTTATACAGGAGACCGTCATGCCAAACACGGTCAAAGGCTTGTTCTACATCCAGGAAGGCAGCAGTGCAAATTTTTTTCTCTTTAAGGCATACATTAATGTTTTTAACAATCCTATGACACTGTTGTAGAGTTGAATGGGCTTCGCGAAAATCAAACTGGTGTGTGGGATCACTGAATTAATTTGAATGTCTTCTGAGATTCTTTGGAGCAGAAGTCTTTCTAAGATGTTTGACATTATTGGAAGTAAGCTGATTGGTCTATATGAAGTAGTAATATTTGGTGGTTTATTTGGTTTACTAATCATAATTATTCGTGCGAACTTCCAATTAATCTTATACAGATACTATTCATATATCCTTGTTAGTAAGACAATTGCTTTTCTTGGTTATTTTTTGAATATTAGCCCAGTGATCATGTCGAAGCCTGGTGCTTTGTAGTTATTGCATTTAGAAATTTGTTCTTTCACATTATTAGGAGTAAAGCATTTGATTGGTAGCATCATTGGGCATGGAGTGTCTAAGAATTTTTTAACTTGTTCTTCGTTATTATTGTTATTAAGTTCAGGTGCACCAAAAACGTGTGAGAGATGTGCAGCAAAGATTGATGCCTTCAGTTTTTCTCCGTCTTCCATCGGCTTTCCTTAGAGGTGGTATGTGCTGTTTAGGCCTCTTGAATGATTTCGTTGCTGTAGGTGTAGTTGACTTACTTCCTCGTTGGGGCCTCTGTTTAGGCCTCTTGAATGATGCTGTGGTTTTCTTTTGACAGGCTGTTGATTAATAGTTCAAATGTATCATTTCTCGCGTCTGGGAGAACAGTTTTAAGTTGCCGTGTTAATCTGTTGTATTCATTTTTATTTATAGGATTGCGACTTCTTTGCCATATGCGCCTGGCTCTTCTTTTTTGTGCAACAAGACGTTTTATATATACGGGTATATTGGCGTCACTTGGTTCTTTGTCATTCTGAGGGGGTGTAGCTATTTCTGCGGCTGCATGTATAGTTTGGGTGAGAATAAGCACAGCAATATCGATATCGTCTGGTTGCTTTAATCTTATACTTAAATTTAAATTTTCATTTATGTAAGACTCGAATACATTCCAGTTGGTCTTTGATGTTGTTAACTTAGGGGTATTCGGACGTTTTATAATTTGCGTATATAGTGTTACAATTATGGGAGTATGGTCGGTGGACAGATCCCAGGATGCTTGTATGTCAAAATAACTTAAGGCCATTCTATGAATGATAAAGAAGTCGAGTAGGTCTGGGATTTTGTTTGAATCTGATGGCCAGTAGGTGGGTTGCCCTGTAGATAAGTAAGAGCTGTTTGTGTTAGCTATGGCTTGTCTGAGATTTTTTCCCTTTGTCTTAGATAGTCTCGACCCCCAGTCTGTATACTTGGCAGTCCAGTCACCTCCAATTAAGAATTTGTTTGGTAGATGTTTAAGAAGTCTTCATATTCTGCTGTGGTAATATTATGCCTTGGAGAGCTGTACGTTGCCGCCATGTCAAAAGACTGTGGTTGAGAACTGATACAGATTACTGCAGCTTGTATTTTTCCGTCTGATATATTGTTTTTTCATAGTGTGGTATGGTGTTACGTACAATAATAGCAGCGTCACCGTGTACTGTTCCATTAGGATGTAAATAGAATAGTGAGGGATCTTGAACATCGTTTTTTTCAGTGAAATGTGTTTCCGATATGAGTAGAACATCAATTTTGTTGTGTTCAAGAAAGTTAGTAACTTCTGTGTTATGGTTGCCTAGGCCGTTGGCATTCCATTGTGCAATTCGTAGTGACTTAAGTTCCATTTTAGTTTAGAGTTTATTTATTACCGTGGGAAGCATGTTTAGGATCACGCTATTTTGATTTATTAGTTGTGAAAACATAGCTTTGAATTCGTTAAGGAAACTCTTCATCATCTCTCCAATGTCATTGTTTGTATTACCTACATGTGTTACTCTTGTTATTTGAGCGTAAGTTGCATTATTTTGGTATGAGTTCGTATTATTATGGACAGTATTTACATTTGTCTCACCTGTTGCTTGTGTGTAAGTAGCGTGACTTTGATTGCTTAAGTTCAGATTATTCTGTACTGTATTTCTGTTATATGGCATTTGTAATTTGCGGTGTGTGCTCCATTGCAGAAAGCGCATATGGCAGGTGTGTTCCTAGGTTTTTTACAATCGGCTGACATATGGTTGCCTCCACATTTGACACAGCGATAAGATCTATTACAGTACGTCTTAGAGTATCCATACAAGTGGCATCTGGTACACTAGACAATATTATTTTTGATATACGGTGGCTCAATAACTGTTTTCGCGTTGTTTATAAATTAATTTCATTTATTTTTTAATTATTTTGATTAGGTTCTATATCGACGTAGAACATCATTAGAGAGTCCTTATTTACTATGTGTTTTATATTTACAATATTGCGTACTAAATACCCATGTCTTTCTATTTCACTTTTTATTATATCAATGGGCACTGTATGATGTAGATTACGAATTAGAACTCGTATGCTCTATCCTCTTTCATTTGGTACGTATGATGCACAATTTTTTGCTGTTTAAATGTCTTACCAGTTTTCGGTATATTTCAGAGTCCCGAGAATTTATTTGTATTGTGTTATTTTGTAATGCTGTACAATATAATGTCTCTGTTTTTGTTACTTCCGACAGGTTATTAACCATTTTATTGTATTCAGTAACACCATATATAAAAATTGATGGGGTTTAGAGGTTGCTGGAGATTTGTTGATTCTTTCTGTACTGTTATTGTTGTCGTTTTCGTTTTCATTTTGTAAAATCTGAAATTTATTGCTGGGTACTACCGTGTTTTCGTTTTCTGTTGGTCTCAGAGGATTCATATTACGTTTTTTGTTACTATGTTGTATAGTTTGACATTCGTGGATCTCCAATGACTCAATATCGCTGATTGTCCTTGAAGATTCTTCACTTTGTAATGTATGTGACATCTCAATAGAATCATAAGCTTCATTTTGAGGTGTAGATAATGTGGGATTTATTTTAAGACTGTATTGACAGTTTGAGGAAGATTGTGATAGTACTTG